AGGTTCAGTCAGTTATTCCACAAGCCTTTATGCTGCACCTGCTATGGGCCAGTCTCCATAGTCAGACTCTAACATATTCTATGATGTAAAGAGCACTAAAGCGGAGTCACATGACTTGAGTTTGAATGAAAAGACAAAAAGCAAACAATCCAGGCCCTCAAGGAGCATCTATTCCACTGGACGGAGGGACCGATCATCAAAAACTTGATTTTTTTGATGTTTTTGCTTGATTATAGTTTGATGTTGTATTATAATGCTAGGGCTCCAATATGGAGTCCCTTGGGCTAAGTGGTCCTAATCACCATAGAAGCATTCTTCTACTTTCCCACTGTTAACTCCATGTCAGATGGATAAGGGCAACAGCTTTTGATGGAATGAATTCTTGACCTCTTACAGGGGCGTTGAGTCATTCTCCTGCTGCCTTAGTTAATGTTAGACTCTCCCATCAGTTTGTGGTTGTGATAAAGAAATTCCCCCTACCCAAGCTTCATCTAAGCTTGATATCACTAGAGGACCCCAAGACTTTTTCCAAATATCTGGATCTGTTTAGGGATGCCCCCTCCTACACCTGGCACCAATTACCTGTTCCCAACCAAGCCAATTCTTAGAATCTACAATCTTTCCACCTGAACCCTAACTTTGAATTCCATTCCACTCTGAAATGCTATGATAACAAATTGCTGCATGGTTGAAGTTAAATTCTTTGGGCCTCAGTTTTCCCATCTATAAAAAAGAGGTGGTTGGATTAGATGGCTTCTGAAGCCCTTTCTAGATCTTTGATCTTATAATCCCAATAAAAATAACAACAATCATATAGTACTTTAAAGTTTTCAAAGCACTTTATATAGAGAGAGATCTCACTAACTTAAGGTTGATACCATAGAAATTATTCCCATTTTACAGATGAGGAAACTGAAACTCAGGAGTGAAATGAATTACTCAGAATCAATACAGCTTATATTCTGCAACTTGATCGGCATCTAAGGGCAGTTGTGAAAGATAGAACAGTTCCTTAGACAAATTTCAGAATAGATCACATTTATCCTTGCCCTGGACCCCACTTCCTGGTACCTCCTCTCTTCCTTCAAAAGCAAGTATTTCTTAAATTCCTGAAGTGTACGAAGCTTCAGAATGACCTATCTCTCTTCGGCCCAGAGCCCACCCCACTTCCACCCCCCCCCCGCCCCCACCACTAAGGGATCCCAGCTGGGCTGTATGGAGATGAGTCTATTGTGAATTGTTTATGAGAATGTGATATGGGTTACTTGTAATTGAAAAGAAGAAATAGGAGGCATTGAAATATTGCACATCTTAGAAAAAGAACAAACTTGAAAGAAGAAAAAGAAAATAAGGTGGTTTTTGTCTAGAAGCAAAATATATCTGTTCCTGGACAATGTGGAGGAGGAGTTATCACAACTGCTGGTTTACTGGAATATCAAAGTAGAGAGGCCCTGAGTCTCTAGAACATAGCTCAGGGAAGTTATAAAAAACCCTCTGGGCCTTTGCTTACCTCCTTCCATGTGATGGGAATCACAGAATCATAGAAGTGAGCTTAAACTATTTCCCAAAAACAATCTCCTTTATGACATGTGCAATGGGGCTCATGTAGCCTCTTGTTGAAGATGTCCGATGAGGGAGATCCACCGCCTCTTTAGATGGCCATCCATTTGGAGACAGTTGGCATTGCTAGAAAGCTTTCCTGACATCAAGTCTGAATTCCTCTCTTTGTAACTTCTTCTCATTGCCCCAAGAGAACATACCAAGTAGAACAAATCTATGAAGTTCAATCACGTTGAACTTGGAGTCAAAGGACCTGCATTTGAATCCACCTCTGGTACTAACAATGTGTGTAACTTTGAGTGAATCACTCATCCTTCCTAGGCTCAGCATCTTCATCAATAAAATGATTGGATTGGATTAAAGGTTACCTAAAGCCCCTTATAATTCTAAATTTCTACTTTGTAGGTTCCCTCCCAGCTCTGACATTCCACGATAATAGGTCCCAATGATTCAGCTCTACCTCTGCAAACATAGATTTATTTTTTTTTCCAATAAATCCCCATCTAATTGTCTCATGGGCCTCCCAGGGTCATCGTCTGCTTAGCACAGTCTCAAAACTAGATGTCAGAAATCAACTGAAGCTCAATCCCTTTAATACAAATCCAGCGTGATGTACCAGGGCCACTGGAAGAGCACCCCAATATCCTGGCAAATAATTCCAGACCTTCACGTCTCCCACCCCCTCCCTTCCCCAATGCTGGTAGTATGTGTGTAGAATGACTTGGTTTGGTCTCTGCTGAACACAGCAGCTGGCCACTTAAAAGACCTTTCTCAGCCTGTCCTTGTTATCTCTACTAAAGATTGAGGTAGAAACTCTCAAAAGTCATTGCTTTTCATGTTCCCTGGCAGGGTCTCACTGTCCTGGCTACTGACCAACTCTGGCAGCTCCAATCCATTGATTTCATGTCACTGCCAGATTTACACCTTCTTTACTGGACATATTTAGGCTCTCTCTGCCCATCAAAGAAAGACAATTAAGAACTACAACTACCAGATAATCCTGTTCTCATCTGATTTTGTCCCAGAGACACAAAGGGCCAAGGTGAAGAAAATGAGAGGATTGTAACATTTTAGGATGTGAGAGCTGCAGGGGCTTCAGGGATAGCATGCTGGGGAAAGTCAGCCTCTCCTCCCATTGCCACATGACTTGGCTCCCTTCTGGGTGGATCTCTCTACATTTGGAAAGCTCTCACTGGGGCCGCTACTAAAGGCTTTTGGTGTGCATTTCTATATGATAATAGTAATAATAATAATATTATTATTTCTATATGATAATAGTAATAATGTTATTCTTATTGTTATTGTTATTAAGAGAGAGTATGAAGTAGTGGATGGAGAGCCAGATTCAAAGCAAGGAAAAGCTGGGTTCAGGTCAGGCTTTTGGTGCATACTGACCTGGGGCAAGTCACCTGACCTCTTAGTTCTCTAGGAAAATGACTAACTCCATACTTTGCAGAGCTGGCACTCAACTACATTGGTAGAGGGAGTTTCCTCATCTGGGTGTTTCCCAGACCAATGAAATCCTAGACTAAGTCCAATCTGTACCACCACCATCATCATCATCAATATCAACAAGAACAACAACAACATTTCTGTAACCCTTTATAGTTCCAAAGTGTTTTATTCTCATTATCTCACTCAATCCTCAAACAACATATAATGCTGATGGTTTTGCTAATAATAATTATAATTATAATAGCATTTCTATAGTGCTTTAAGATTTGCAAAGCGCTTTAGAAATATTATTTGATCATTGGGAAGTAGATGCTATTATTGTCCCCATTTTACAGATGATGAAGGTGAGTCAGACATTAAGCAACTAGCCAATGGTCACAAAACTGGTAAGCATCTGAGGTGGGATTTGAATTTTGATCTTTATGACTCTAGGTCCAGCAATCCATACATTGAGCCACCTAGCTACCTCCATGCATGAGGTAGGAAATAGAAAAATTATTACCCCCATTTCTTATATAAGGGAATGGAGACTCAACAAGGAAAGTGATTTCCTAAAGGTCACTCAGCTCATAAGTGGTGGAGATAGGAATTAGGTTCACAGATTCATAGATGTTTAGTTCTGGGAATTTAGGGCTAAGACAAGAATCTAGGTCTCTTAACTTCAAAAAAATGGGCATTTCACACTGTGAAACACTGCCTTTTAGGGTAAATGAATACCATATAGCCTGACTTTGGAACCGCCAGGGAGATGCCTTCCATTCCACCAAATACCTTCCTCACTTTCCAAGTTGGAAAAGTCATCCGGCAAGAGGCTAGAGGATGAGTTGGAGGGTGAGGGGGCAGGAACTGATTGTATAAGGAATGTCTGAGAAGCAATTGAGGTGAAAAGAAATTAGGGCCTGAATTAGGGTGCTGTGTAGCTTTGGGCAAGGAGAAATCCAATTTTATGAGTTAAATTAGTGACACAATAGAGTTTGGTGGAAAGAACACAGGATTTGACATCAGGAGACATGTGTATGAACCTGAATTACTGCCCATGTAACTTCAGAAAGTCAGTTTCCTCCTCTGAGCCTCAGTTTCCTCCTCTATAAAAGGGAAGTGCACTAGCTATGTGCAAAGGTTCTTTTCAGCACCAGGGCTAGGATGCTATGATCCTCAGGAGTTCTTGCCACCTGGGTTTCAAAGAGCCTTTTAGCTCCTTTCTTGAAGACCAGGGTTAGAGGCAGGGTCTAGATGAAGGAGGATACTAGAGAGAGGTAAGTATTCACACAGAGAAGACTTTGAGGAAGTGGAAAGGGGAAGCCTGAGTTCACCAAAGTAAAATCAGAGCAACTCCGACATTTTGTACAAAGCCATCCCTGGACTCCAGGGGGCTTATCTCTGCTGCAAGGGGAGAAGAGAATGGGGAAGAGGAGAGACAGGAGGGCTTTGGGAAGGTCTGCCTTACTTACCCTGTTGCTCCATTCTCTCACAGGCAAGAACAGATCGACCCTGGGGACACTGGCACAGGCAGTTGGTACCCTCGAGGATGGGCTCACCATTGTTGATGCAGGGCCCACAACGGCACGAGTCATGCTCTTCCAGGTACTCATCCAGCGCCCGCCTCATGTTCTGCCATTTACGTTCATGGTGGCCCAGGTTGCTTTGACGTAACACGGCAAAGATGGGCAGGAGCTGTTGGGAACAGGAGAGGCATTTGGGACGGTATAAAATACACTGAATTTGGAGTCAGAAGAGTAGAGTTTAAACCCCTTAAGGAACCTTGGGCAATTCAATTCAGTTCAACAAATATTAAGTGTTTCTTATGTTCAAGGCATTATTCTAGACATTAGTGATACAAAGAGAAAAGAAAATCCAATCCCTGTCTAAGGAACTTACGCTTTACTAGAAATGTAAGAAAAGGGAAGATTTAACAGTGAATCAGTCAAGAAGCATATATTAAGCACCAAGTATGTACCGGGTACAGGGGCCACAAAAATGCAAATGTCTTCAAGGGCCTTCTTCTTTTAACCTTCCATGTTTTAAAGTCATTTCTAACTTTCATAAGATTCTAGGTCTATTGTAAGTGTGAATAAATTTATTTTCCTCAGGGAGGTTAAGTGACTCCAATGTGATCATGCAGATAGTGTCAGAGACAGGAGTCATACTCAGGGGTCTTGATTCCAATGCTTGTACACTTTCCATTATAGCCTGGGGCTCATTATTTGGGATAGCACTAACTGTTATTCAATATTTCTCTATCATGTAGAAATCCATTTTCTACTGGTAGAATAGGCAGAAATCCATTGATCCTAGCTCTGCCTTATGAAGCCTCAGTAAGGCATGGCGTCCTCTGTACTGCCTCTGCTACATTACAATCCATCAAATATTTTAAACAATGATCTTGGGCTCCCACCATCTTCTCCTCTCCTAATGGTTTTGGATTACTACTACTACTATTACTGCTACTACTACTACTACTACTACTACTACTACTACTGCTACTACTACTACTATTACTGCTACTACTACTGCTACTACTACTACTATCACCACCACCACCACCACCACCACTACTACTACTACCTATTTGTAGTCAACATTTATATAAGTTACTATGTGCCAGGCACTGTGATAAGTGTTTTGTAAATATTATCTCATTTGCCATTCACAATATTACTAAGGTAGGTACTATTAATATCTCCATTTTACAAATGAGGAAACTGAGGAAAAGAGAGCCTTGGTAACTTGCTCAAGCTAATAAGTATTTGAGGCCAGATTTGTACTCAGATCTTCCTAACTCCAAGCCTACTGCACCATTCAGCTGCTAATACCCTGAAGCAACATAGTATAATAGGAGTCCTATGACTGGACATAAAGAATTTTAATTCAAGCCTTACCATTGACCTTCCTAGCTATGGGACATTGGCCAAATCACTTAACTGCTCTGATCCTGTTTCCTCACCTGTAAAGTAAACACTGCAAATGTGGTGATCCTCACAATATGTGAGTTTGAGAAAAGATTCAGTGTGACTTTCCCCACGATCACACAGGCAGTAAGTGACGGAACTAGCCATGTCAGGAGTCTAGGTTTCATAATTCCAAGTTCTGAAGGATCCTTTATATTACATGATAATTCAAAGATTTCTTTTTGTTTGGTCATTTCAGTCACATCCAGCTCTTCATGACCCTATTTAGAGTTTTCTTGGCAGAGATACTGGAGTGGTTCACCATTTTCTTTTCCAGCTCATTTTACAGATGAGGAAACTGAGGCAAACAGGATGAAATGACTTCCCCAGGGTCACACTAAGAGGTGTCTGAGGCTGGATTTGAATTCATGACCATGAGTCTTCCTGACTCCAAGCCTAGTGCTCTATGCAATGTGATGTTACCTAGCTGCCCCTAATTCAAAGATACGTGGTATCAAAGCATTGGTTATTGAGCCACAGGATCTGAGTTTAAGTCCTGAGTTGACTTCTTACTGCCTGTGTGATCTTGGGTAAATCATTTAATTTCCCTTGACCTCAAGTTCCTCATCTGTAAAACGGGGGGATTGGATGACCTCTGAGTTCTCTTCAAACTCTAGACATACGAGCCTCTGATACTCTGAGTACTGTTTGGAGTCAGACAACCATGCTCACATTCTGGCTCTGCTACTTACTATCATTGTGACCTTGAGCAAATTACTTAACCTCTGTGCCTCAGTTTCCTCATCTGTCAAATAAAAGAAAGTTGAACTAGATGGTCTCTGAGGTCTTTTCTAGGTCATTGTATATGGTTGTGGAACCTTTAATTTCTTATCTGGAAGGTTCCTATCTTAGGGATCATTTGGTTAAATTGTTTTATTACAAATGAGGAAAGTGAGGGCCAGAGAAGGTACTTGCCTGAAGCCACACAATTAGTCAGTGGTCAGGCCAGAAATAGAGCCCAGCACCATTGTCTGACATGACCTAAAAAGAAGAGAAACATCCTTCTTGCAAAACAAAAGGTGTGATGAGAGCATCAGCAGACAACTATTGATGACATTGAATAGAGCCCTGGGAAACTGCACAAAGACCTCGAGCAAATAAACCTGGGGCTGAGATAAGGAATTTTCCAGGAGGATAGGGCAGCCCATCAGTGGCCTGAAGCCACAGGCATAAGTGCAGGGCTGCTCAGACAGCCAACTGAGAGGTTGCCAATTGGTTTCCAGGAAAATTGCAGAGAATTTGGCCACCAATTGCTGGGGAGTTTGCAGAAGAAATGGGGTCACCCTACAGCTGCAAGGGTGGCAGTTAGGAAAAGATGTTTCTCCCTAATGGAGCTTCTTATCTTCAGGGCCAGCTGCAGCCTGTAGGACAATTTTCCATTTACCCTGTTAATGGGGTGGAGGGTCAGAGGGAGCTCAAGCTACTTGCACCATGTTTTCCCCCACCAATGTTTGCTCAGCTTTGCTGTGAGAGAGAGAGAGAGAGAGAGAGAGAGAGAGAGAGAGAGAGAGAAGAAATGGAAGGGAGGGGAGGAGAGGAGAAGAGGAATGGAGGAAAATCTTAAGGAGGAAGGTAAGATTGGGAGAACAATTATAGAATGTAGGAACCTTCAAGTTCACTTAGTCCAATCTATTCATTTTATATTAAGGAAATTAAGCAGGTGAAGAGTCATGACTCCAGCTAGAGGTAGTAGAGTCAGGATTCCAACCCAAGTTATAGAATCATCTGACCATAGGATCCCTGATTAAAATCTATGAAAGACCTGAGATGTTATCTAGTCCAATCCTTTCATTTTACACATAGACAAATGAGGAAACTGAGACCCAAAGTTTAAGTGACTTATCCAGAGACACAGATGGGAAATGAGAAAGACAGAATTCAAAACCACTCCTTTGATTAAAAATATAGGTGGAGAAACTGAAGCCAAAGGAAGATGAAGTGACTTATCCTTCTTTCTTCTGTCTACCTGACCAAATAAGTTTTAGTCATCCTTCAATGCCAAGTTAAAATTTCCATCTTTTATTTATTCCCTTTTTTTTCTGAAATTCTAGTTAAGAAAACTCATTACTGACAAGTAGTTCCCATGTGCCTATAGCCAAGTCATTGAATTTCTTAAAACTTCAGTTTCCTGATTTATAAAATGAGGGTATTTGACCCTATAATCTCTAACATCAGAGAATCATAGAAGGGTTGGAAGGGACGTCAGTGGTAACCTAATCTAACTCATTTGCCCTTCCTCAGTCAATAAAAAAATTGTTAAAGATTACTTCATGCTAAGCACTCTGCTAAGCAATGGGGATACAAAGAAAGGCAAAAGACAGTCCCTGCCCTCAAGAAGCTTACAATCTAATGAGAGAAACAACACATAAAAACTTAAAAGACGAGAGTACCTAGTGAGGGAGAAAAGGTGAATACCTACAGGTAGGTGAGAGATGATGGGGTGGCTGCCTTGATTCCCCTCTTTAAATGGAAGACCATGGAGGAGCTCCACCCTCCACCCTCTCCAATCAGACGCAGGGAGAAGTCCCGGCACCAGAAGGATATTGAGAAAGAGTGAATTTCAGAATTGATTCAATATTGCTAATTGAGTTATTGGAGATGATGTTGAGGTTCAGGATATCAGCTGGGTGGGAGATGAACACCCCTAAAATAAAAATCCTCTCTATGACATCTCCAATAAGTAGTTATCTCACCTTTGATTAAAGGCCTCCATTCACGTAAAACATTCCACTTCCATTCAAGGGTTGCATAGTGATATTAAGAGTTATTTTTATAATGAGATAGTCTCGGAGCCAGGAACACCTGACTGCATCTTACCACTGACACATATTAGCTGTGTAACCTTAGGCGAGTCACCTAACTTTCAGTGCTCTAAGCAATTCTCTAAGTCTGTAAGTTGATGAGAAGGTGCCAATCTGCATTTGTGGATGAAATTTCTCATCAGGAGCTCCTCATATCAAGGAAAATGCAGATCCAGTGCCTGTAATACCATAAAGTCTGAATTTGAATATCTGTAACTTTCACTCATTGCTCCTCCAGTAGTTCTACTCTCTGTGATCAAATGCAACAAGTTTAAACCCTCCCTATATGTAACTCCTTCACATATGTGAAGACTATTGTAAGGGTCATTTCTGATTTTAGGGTATTTATGAGTATGATGGCAGAGCTATGCCAGACACTAAAGCTTACGGTAAGTTGCTGGCCATGGTGCTGACCTTGTGGGTTCAGCTGACAAGCTTACACCCGGATGCAGTTGTAAGGGACTATCCCTTTCCAGGTGGCTCTCACTAGAGAGTGGTGAATCCTTGGAACCATACTATGCCTCATGAGTCTAGCCAGACAGCTAATAGCAGTGATCATTATGAATTGCACTCCTTGGTAATCTAACTCAAGCAGAGATTCATACACCAGAAAGATGCCAACCAGAGGTTCATGCAATCCTAGGGGAAAAGCAAACAAGGCATATCTTCCTAGAACTATTGCTTCAGGACTTGATCAAGTGAAATACCCTAACGTTCACAATACACTGGATCCTACAGAGGCAGACTTTCTTTGGTGTTCTAGATCTCACCCAAGTTTCTTTGTTCTATCTATACACAGCGCCCACTTTCACCCATAGTGTACTAACTCCCCAACCAAGCAGGAAAAAGGCTGAGCATCATATGACATCAGTCCTGTGTCTGTTTTGGCAGGACTGGCAGCTGCTCTGGGGAGAGGTGATTTATGGAAGCTGGTCTCGAACTTTGCTTTTAGCCCCTAGTGCCAGAGACTCTCTGCTTTTGGGTTACAGTCATCATCGGCTGTGAAAGTGCCCTGATAATAAGAGAAGTAAGAAAATGTTATTCTGGCAGCATGGACTCATAGGAGGCAACAAAGGGGCCCTGACTACTGCTGATCATAATGTGGTAGGAAGAGCAGGGAACTAAGAATCAAGAGAAACATGACTTGGAATCTGTCCTTTGAGACTTAGCTATATGTGACTATGCACCAGTTACTTAACTCATCTGAGCGATGTGCTCCTCACTTGTAAAATAGGGGCAATAATACCTGGGGTGCCTACCTCCAGAGCTATTGTGAGGATTCAATGACATAAGGAATGTAAGGGGCTGTGGAAACCTTAAAAGGCTATAGAAGTATCAGTTATCATTATCTCTTACTCTATCTTCCGTCAGCATGTTTGAGACTCCTTCAGTGACTTGTAGCTCTGGGTGTGTTAGCTGAAAGTGAATACTTACAGGAACTGATCCTTCAAGAAATCAGAACTCTATAGAATCTGGTGGTCTGATCCCCATTACTGATGGAACAGATCACTTATGTCCTATTTTTGTTGAAGGATGGCTATCACCAGGCCAGTAGAGGCATGTCACGTCTTTGATCTGTCATGGAGAGACCTGTTGGTCCTCAGATAGTGCTGGAGGCTAGAAGAAACTAGCGGTTGGGTATAGGCTGGACAATCCAGGTCAGTGGCCTGGGATTAAAAATAATTTACAAGTGAATCCATTGCTAAACTCCTACCTGAGACACAATGTTCTGAGATGTGGCTATAATGTACCTTCTATAGGAAGCGCTTCCTGATTCCCATAACTGTATGTACCTTTTCACTATAAATAAAATGATTTTAATTGATTGTATACATATTCTGAACATACTCATACATGTACATGTCATCTCCCCCAGTGGCATACAACTTCTCAGGAATTGTTTCCTTTTCCTATGTGTCCTAACACCTTGAATGTTACTTGGCACCTTGATGGATTGATTGACACAGAAGTGAAAAGAATGACCCTTTCAGGAAACCAGTCATCCCAGGCAGCCACCCTCTGAACATACTGACAAACATACTTTACTTTTAGCCTCCTTCAAGTCTTCCTCTTCACTGGATCCTTAAATCTTTCTTGGGAACACAGCAAGTGATATATTTACTGTTCACCTAAACCATAATTCTCAATCTTTACCTTGAAGTTTTCTTCAAGGAAAGCACAAAATTTGGCTTTTGGCCATGGAAGTTTTCAGAATACTCTGGTTATGAATTTTTCAGTTTAGGCCCAAGTCACTCATCACTCAGTGATACCAATTTCCAGCACCTCCACAAATTTCAGGTGCCTGAAAAATCAGTTTCTCAATTATTGGCAGAAAAACAAAATTAAGGTTAACCCGTCCTACCTCTTTCTAACATGTACAATTTTTTCCATTCATTTGTCACTGAAAGGTGAATGTTGTAATAGACCTTGGTTTAGATGTATTTGTTTATCTCAAAAGAAGGAGCATGACTATACCATTTGGAGTAAGTTTTTGTTTGTTTCTTCTGGAAACAGATCTGAGATTTCATCAGTGCGGGAAAAACATCTTCCATCAATGCAAATCAGCAAATATGGTACAACTTCTAGTCTTGGGGTTGCCTGGTACACTGTTAAGTCACCTGCCTATGGTCACAAAACTATCAGGTGTAGGAGTTAAGAACACTTGAACTCAACTGTTCTTGACTACTATGCCATCCTGCCTCACTTGTGTAAAGGCTAAAGATGGGTACTGAAGCTATTATTTCAATTTTATATGGAACACCCAAATAAAGACACTCCCTTTACCAATGCTGGTCAGTACCTTTTCTGCAATTTGTAATCTAAGAAAGTTGCCTAGAGCACTGAGAGGTTAAATGATTTATTCAAGGTCACATAGCTAGTATATATCAGAGGCATGACTTAGACTCTGGCTGCAAGGTTCACCATAACTATATTCCACCCTGTTTCCCCTCTCATCTAGACATGTAATGAGGAGGCTCCATTCATTATCCAAACCAATTAAAAGTTATTACCTTTGTTACTCTTTCTTTAAATCAAATAATCAGGAAGGGAATTTGAATTGGATCTGTATACCTCCTTTAGCCAATCAAAGCCATTGTAGGAGAGACTGGGTCACACCCTAAGGAACTTGTATAAAAGGAAGAATCTATCTGAGAACCAGAGGGAGAGTGTCTGAGGGCTCAGAATTGAAAGGCTAGATCATGTCGTATTAGTACACTTTTGTGGGATAAAAGAAGGATTGAGTTGTGGCAGAAAAGGGAGATTTTGAGGAAAGTTGCTGATTCTACGGTTATCTTGGAGCAGAAGATTCAGGTAACAAAAGTCCCAAGAAAAGATCAGCTCTTTCCTCAACTTCCCTTTCAGTGATTTCCACAGTTTAATAAAATCTGCTATTTCATTACCCAAACAATTACACTAAGTGAAATGTTGCCTCTACCACAAAGAAGCCAGGGGTTAACTAGAGAGAGAGAGAAATATAAAGTTAGGTAGAAAGTGTAACCTCTGCTTAAATGTTAGGAAATTTCCTAACTGAGAACTCAGAATGAATGCACCTGATGACACAATTGCCCATCTAAAAAACTCAAAAAAAAAACCTCCTTAAAAGAAAGAGGAGCCATGTGTACTTAGAGGCCATTATATTGCACCCCAACGCTGAGGTTTAAAATTTGCTGATCTTTGTATTAGAATTACACTAATTTTTGAACATCCAATAAAAAGGAATTTTGTCTGCTTCCTCATCCTGCTCTAAATCTTTTTGGTTAATGCATCATATGGCTAAACGTAATGTTGAACAGAACCTACCACCTTCCTAGCATAGATGACAGAACCCTGAAGGGGGGGGGGGTAAAAATGTTATCTGAAAGCCACTTGCCTCCTTGATACTCAGATCAGAAATGGTGCTTTGCAGGACTCAACCCTTTAATCTCTGATACTCTGTACTGGGGTCCCAGCGCCCTGACTGAAGAATGCCTCATCAGTCTTACTAAAGTCATCTCTAACCATGCTACTTGGACTCTTTAGTTATATTCTTGCTAGCTTCTCTGCCACCTCAAACACACCCTTACATACTTAAACATTTTTTAAAAAACACAAAACGGGAGGAAAACCAGATATTCAATTATATTATCCTTCAAAAGCTGTAATCAGAACAGATTTTAAATGGGACACTCAGCTGGAGAGACAAGCCTTTCCTCATTTGTATATTATGTTTCCTTTGGATATGAGAAGCATCGTGATTGAATGTAATCCAACCCTGAGGACATTCTTGGAGTTATCTATCAGTGCCTTACTTCCTAAGGCCCTCTGAGAAGGATCCAGGCAGTGACCAGATATGAAGTTTCTGGTCTAGCTCACTTCGGGGGCTCTGGGTGAGAAATAGACTCCCTGTGGTGAAGCAAAGGGGAGGCTACCAGGTCAGTGCCCCGTTACATTTAATCTTGTTCTCTGATGGGCTCATAATAAAAAATATGAAATGATTTGGTCTGCTTCACTTTCATTCCTCCTGGCCACGGAGTTTCTTCAACTGAGAAAAGACTTACCTCAAAATCAATAACAGCAGGATTATCCTTTAACGACCTCCCCCAGGAAAGATACGTCTCAGCTGTCCAGCTGTTGGAAAGGCCACCGCTTGGTGCCACAGTTCCACCGCGCACGCGTGATATAATGTCCTTAACACCCATGTCTTTCAAGGCCTTTTCTGCCATGACATGAAAAACAGAGTTTAGTTCACTTAATGTGAATTCTATTCAATTAAAAATAACTCATTAAGTGCTCACGTCTGCAGATATTCTGCTGGAAAGTAAGGGAAATTAGAGAAAACGTAGATACTGCCCTCATGGAGCTTAGTCTCATAGTGGGGCAATCTGAATAGAAATAATTATATACAAAATGGAACATGATGAGTGCTTAGTGGTATGGGGAAAATGCCATTGTAAGCACAAAGAAAGAATAGCTAAACTCAGGGATTGTGTGATGAAAACCCATTGATTAATTCTTTTAAAAAATTGTGGAACACCTACTGTGTGCAGAGACGATGCACTGAGGAAAGATACAAAGTTTGGATAAGACCCTCATGCTACTGTCACAAAGATGACATTATATTAGACAGATGAATTAACTGGGCTTGCTATAAAAGCATAATTACACATAATCTGCTGCTGTTATGCTTGGAACTTTCTGATATTTGATTTGGACAATGGAAGAATCTCATTCAGGTATGCCCCCAGTGTCTGCTTGGATAGAGCCTCTCTCTGGGAGATTCTCATCGGACTGGAGCCAAAAGAAAATTCTACACACATGGACTGAATTGTATCAATGAATAAACAATATGCAATATAGGAAAGGCTCAATCTAGTGTTACCATAAGCTGCAGGAAGGATGTAAGAACTTCACTCTATGATGGCCAAGTGAAGCAGTGCAGGTAGAAGTCATTGACCTGGAAACCCTTGTTTCCTTAGTACCTGACCCAGGGCCTAGTATATAGCAAGCAATACATGTTTGTGAATTGACTGGTGAATGCAAAGTTGATTTACATACAGAGCCAGTCAGGCTGGAAACCCAGGTGAGCACTGAGCTCTGGACTTACAGTCAGGAGTACATGAGTTCAGCCTCAGTCAATTCCTAGCTGTGTGACCCTGAGCAAGTGAATTAACTTCTATCAGCCTCAGTTTTCTCACCTGTAAAATGGGGACAATAACCATATCTATTTTTTAGATGGCTCAAATGAGATAACATATGGGAACTACTTTACAAACCTATAAATGTCAGCTGTTATTACCATTAATATTAAGAACCCCAGCTGAAAACTAGCTGAGGGGATCCCAGCCTGGATACAAGGATGCCCGTCTTACCATGTATAAATAGTATCTATTCCACGCCATTTGAATTTTCTGATGCTATGTGAAAGGATTGTGGCTTTGTATTGATATGTGTGTGGAATTCCTACTATTCTCCCATAGGTCTTTCTTTGTTGGTGACTAGCAAGGTGACAGTCCCACTGTCCTCTGGTCTAGTTCTGCTCCTGGCTCTACAGACTTCACCATTCCCCAGGCGCCTTCTCACCTGGGAAGATTCCATTACCCCTGCAGCCCCTTCCCTCAGCTGGTCAGTTCCTCCTGGAGTATTCATTTTGAGGAAGAGCTGTCATATAGAAGAGAGGCTTGATGTTCTTGAGCCCAGAAGGTAGAATTAGGAGCAGTGGATGGGAGTTCCAGAGAGGCAGAAATAGGATTGATTCAAGTTTTATCATGACTCTGTCTTCTTGAAGACTATGGCATCAGACCACAGCTCTGACATTTCCTCCTAAACTAGAAAGGCAGGTAGGAATCCAGAGCTGGGCTATGTACCTCTGGCACCAGAAGATGGGAGGTGATGGGGTGGGGCTCATACCCAAATAAGCGGCAGGGTGATTTGTTTTGTTTGTTTAGGCAAAGCAATTCTTAAAAACTGTCTACTGAATAAGTTAAGGGATCATGATCTGTTTCTGGGGAAGGTTGACTCATCCTGATAGAACCAAAGGTCCTTGAATTCAGGAAGTATTTATTGCTTAAGAAATATCAAGCATGGCTTCAGAGTCTGGGTTGATTTAAGTCTATTGAACTCTTGAAATTGGATCCAAACCGAATCAATCATTTGGTAATGCATTTTAATTATTTAGTGCCTAACCTTGTACAGCTGTTGACCACATCTCTATCCCTCCTCGTGCCTCAACCCCCAAAGAACCTAATTCAGTCATCAGATATTGACAAAGAGAAACTGGAGCAGCTCCATTAGTAGTAATCTTAAGTTTAAATTCAAATATTTATTAAATGCCTACTATCTGCACATCATTATGCTGGGCACTGAAGGAGATACAAAAATTTCAATGAGCCGTAGTCCCTGCCCTCACAAAGCTTCCCAGAGGGTGAGGGCACACCGCTATAGCTTAACACTTCAGAGATTTGTGGCTGGCACCAAGTAGGCACATAATAAATGCTCATTAATTGAATGACCTATATTTTCATTGGCTTAGCTACTTCCTCTTGACCCAGATAACAATCCCCACATTGATTTAGTAACTTAGCTTCAAAGATTTTTGTGGTCAAAGAATTCTTCACTTTCTGAGTGATAATGGTCATTGAATGTAGATTCATAGATGTCTGTGAATGTAGAATTGACAGGACTTTGTAATTGATTAGATAGGAGAAGGAAAAAAAAGAAGGCCCAGATCTTTGAGGACCATATTCTAGAAAGGAAATTGATAAACTGGAGAGCATGCAGAGGAGTTTGACTTATGTGGTGAGGGGTCTCAGGATCATGCCATCTGAGGAAAGGTTGAAGAAGCTGGAGATATTAAGCCTAGGGAAGAGAAGACCTAGAGGGCCCAAAAGCTGTCTTAAGAGGCAGCTTATGGTTGAACAAACATGAGCTACAGAGTCAGAAGGCCTGGGTTCAAATTCTAACTGCCGCTCATTAGCCATGTGGCCTGAGACAAGTCACTTCCCCTCTCATTATTTCCCTTCACTCATTTGTAAAATGATAAGCTTATGCCTTCTTGTCCTATGAGGCCCCCTTCAGCTTCAGATCTATCATCCTAAGATCCTGAGTATTCAAAGTGTTGTCAAGAGGAAAAAGGATTGGGTTTACTCTGCTTGGTATCAGGGGTTAGAACGAGGAGCAAGGGTGGACGTTGCTAAGAAGTAGAAGTGAGCCTGATGTGAAGGAGAAAATTCATTGAAATTAGGGCTCTCCAAAAGCAGAAGAGGCTGCATTGGAGAGAAGTGAGCTACCTCTCATTGGAGGTCTTCAAAGTTTGGACATCCACTTGTTGGATATGTTTATTGAAGCAATTCTTGTACAGATGTGAGTTGGACCAGATGCCTTCTGAGGGCTTTTTCAGTGTTGGAACTCAGTGGACATCCAGAGGGAATGGACTATGTGGAAAATTGGCATTCATAGTAACTGATTAAGGTATTTGCAAGGGACTTACCATAGGTTGCATCTCCACTTTTCTTACATCTTGAGCCCATCAATTGACCTTGAACCAACTTGTATTGGATACCCAGGGATGCTCCAAAACAGGAACTTACAGCTTCATCAGTAACCTCTAGAAAAAGAAAAAAGTTATGGGGGAAGGAGAAGGAGAAAGAGAAGGAAAGGGATAGGGACAGTGAGAAAGAGAGTGAGAGAGAAGAAGAGAAAAGGAAGAGGAAGGAAAAAGAGAAGAATGAGGCATGTTACTCAAAAACAAAAGACGCTGGGGGGAACATGAATTCTATAGTCGATGTCAAGGACAACCAGGCCCAATTCATGGGATCTTTCTTGGCACTTGTATTCTCATTGCACTCGATGGACCGTGGGGCTCAGCTGCTTCCTAACTGCTCCAGTACCTTCCATCCTCCCAGTAACCCAGGCTCCAAACCTCAGCGTCACCCTCACCTCAACTCCCTCATTCATTGCTTATAGGCCATCAGTTGCTCAATCCTCTCCTTCAACCAGCTACAACCCTAGACTGCACCCTCATCATCCCTTTCCTGGACTCTTGAAATAGCCTTCTTTTCTTTTTTACTTTAAACTTAAACATCAAAGTGGGCATTTTCACATTTATAGTAGAATGAAGGGAAAAAATGGTCAGGAAACTGGGTATCTCTATTATCTCTATTATATACAGCTCACTTCAAGAAAATATTTTAAAAATTAAGCATGTAATGTTCAAAACTATTCTGTTTGTGATTCAAGCTTCCTCTTTTCTTCTATGATTTTTTTTCTTTTTACTAAATTAAAGTTGGCATTTTTAAATGTATCGATGGCCCTTTTTCCTTTCTTTTTCTTTTGGCTACCCATACCAACCCCTCCCTGAACCCCCAATTTTTAAATGGAAAAATTAAACCATTTAAACAAATATGTACAGTCAAAAAAAACAAATTTCCAGATTAGCTGTGTTTTATAATGTATGTCTCATTCTGCATCTTGAGACCATTCTCTCTGCCAGGAAGGGGGTAGGCAATCACTTTTTAATGGGTTTTCCTGCTTCAGGTTTCCCACCACTCCAATCTATCCTCCACTCAACTGCCAAAGTGATCTATCAAAAATACACATCTGCTCATGACTAACTCATACTCAATAAATTCAAGGAGCTCCCTATTACCTCCAGGAATAAATATAAATCCTTTTTACAAATTGTCCCCCACCCATCACTTTCCATTTTCTTTATATTTTCCCCTCCCCCCATTCTATAATGCAACTATACAAGCTCTTCCTTGAACACCACATTCCATCTTTTGACTCCACACTTTTGCACTGGCTGTGCTCCAAGTCTAGAACACTTTTCTTCTTCACCTCTGGCTCTTGACCTTAAGTTCTTTGAGGGTAAGAACTCTGTTTATGCCTTTTTATTTTAATCTCCAGCACTTAGCATAGTGTCTGGCAGGTAATAGGTCCTTAGTAAATGCTTATTGACTGACTGACTAACCTAATACGACAGCCTTTTTATTATTATACCAAAATGGTTGAATTGCTTTCCAGAATGATTTTTCACAGGACTCAATACTATGTTATATGAGAACCAGTTGTATGAATAAGGGACATTTAACTTAGAGAAGAGAGAATTTCTGGGGAGACATGAGGGCCATCTTCAAGTATCTGGGTGCCTATCATTTGAAAGCAAGATTAAATTTGGTTGGTTCAGACTAGAAAGCATGAGTTGGAACAACCAATAGAAATTGAGAGGTAGTGTTGTGTGGTGGGTGGTCCTGGACTTGGAGTCAGGGAAAACCTGGGTTTGAGTCCCATATCAGACACTTACAAGCAGTCTGACTCCTAGACTGTGAGAGCTTGAAGGAGGCATGGAGATCAGTAAGCTCACCCTTCTTATTTGGCAGAGAAGACTGGAGCCAGAAATAGGAAATGACTTGCAGGGGGCGGGGCCAAGATGGCAGAGGGAAAGCAGTGACTGTCTTGAGCTCTCTCCCAAAGCCCTCCAAATACCTAAAAAAATGGCTCTAAACAAATTCTAAAGCAGCAGAACCCACAAAAAGACAGAGTGAAACAAATTTCCAGCCAAAGACAGCCTGAATGTTTGATCGCAAAGGTATATCGCGTTGGGCGGGGAGAGGAGTGCAGTTTGGGGCAGCCTGCAGCAACCCTGGAGCAGGCCTCAGAGGGCTGAATCTCGGGCAGCTGTGGCGGTTTCCAGACTTCTCAACCCCTGAATGCCAAAGACAACTTAGAAGGCCAGTGGGAAAAGTCTGTGACCGCAGTGAGAGAGGAGCTGGGTCTTAGCTGCATGTCTCCAGTGCCACAGCTTTTTCCTGAGCTCCCGGCCCACATACTGAGGTGGAATCGAGTGGCTGATCAGAGGGGGATTGCAGGGATCTCTTTGCCAGTGCTGAGGCAGGAATCTCTTGTTTTGCCAGTGCTTGGATCTGGGTCACAGTTCTGAGGGGCGGTCCTGGAGCAAGGAGAAATGCTGGTGAGGTGGAGCTTATTGTAGCGGTGGAGAGGAAACACTTTGCCCCTTATCATATCACCTTGGAAGAACTGAAAATTTACAGGTCCCTAGAAGTACCTCTGAAAACAGTTGTACAAACCCCTGAAGCTTGGGACAGTACACTCTTCACATTGGAAGCAGACTTTTACCTTAACAAAGAGTTTAAAACTCAAGTAATTGGCCAGGATCATGAGTAAGCACTGCAAAAAGAGTCAGACTATATTATCTTACTTTGGTGTCAAAGAAGATCAAAACATACAACCAGAAGAAGATAACAAAGTCAAAGCTCCTGCATCCAAAGCCTCCAAGAAAAATATGAATCAGTCCCAGGCCTTGGAAGAGCTCAAAAGGGATTTTGAGAAGCAAGTAAGGGAAGTAGAGGAAAAACTGAGAGTGATGCAAAAAAATCATGAAAAACAACTCAACAGCTTGCTAAAGGAGACCCAAAAAAATACTGAAGAAAATAACACCTTAAAAAAACAGCCTAACCCAAATGGCAAAAGAGGTCCAAAAAGTCAATGAGGAGAAGAATGCCCTAAAGAACAAAATTGGCCAGATGGAAAAGGAAGTCCAAAAGCTTACTGAAGAAAATACTTCCTTAAAAATTAGAATAGAGTAATTGGAAGCTAGTGACTTTATGAGAAATCAAGACACTGTAAAACAAACCCAAAAGAATGAAAAATTAGAAAACAATGTGAAATATCTCATTGGAAAAACAACTGACCTGGAAAATAGATCCAGGAGAGAGAATTTAAAAATTATTGGACTATCTGAAAGCCATAACCAAAAAAAGATCCTAGACATCATCTTTCAAGAAATTATCCAGGAAAACTGTCCTGATATTTTATAACCAGAGGGCAAAATAGAAATTGAAAGAATCCACTGATCTCCTCCTGAAAGAGATCCCCAAAGGAAAACTCCTAGGAATATTGTAGCCAAATTCCAGACTTCCCAGGTCAAGGAGAAAATATTACAAGCAGCCAGAAAGAAGCAATTCAAGTATTGTGGAAACACAATCAGGATAACACAAGATTTAGCTGCTTCTACATTAAGAGACCACAGGGCATGGAATATAATATTCCAGAGAGCAAAGGAGATAGAATTACAACCAAGAATCACCTACCCAGCAAAACTGAGTATAATCCTGCAGGGGAAAAAATGGTCATTCAGTGAAATAGAGGACTTTCAAGTATTCTTGATGAAAAGACCAGAGTTGAATAGAAAATTTGATTTTCAAATACAAGACTCAAGTGGAACGTGAAGAGGTAAACAGGAAAGAGAAAATCATAAGAGACTTATTAAGGTTGAACTGTTTACATTCCTGCATGGAAAGATGATATTTGTAACTCATGTTACCATTGTCAGTATTAGGGTAGTTGGAGGGGAAAAAATTATATGTGTGTATATATAGATATAGATAGATAGATAGAGGGCACAGAGTGAGTTGAAAATGAAGGGGTCATATCTGGAGAATAAAATTAAGGGGTGAGAGAGGAATATACTAGGAGAAGGAGAAAGGGAGAGGTAGAATGGGATAAATTATCCCATAAAAAAAAAAAACAAAAAGAAAAGGCTCTTACAGTGGAGGGGAAACAGGGGAAGGTGAGAGGGAATGAGTCAATCTTATTCTCATAGGATTTGACTTAAGGAGGGAATAACATCCACACTCAATTGGGTGTGGAAATCTGTCTTACCTAACAGGAAAATGGGGGGGGGGAAGGGACAAGAGAGTAGGGGAATGATAGAGAGGAGGGAAAATTGGGAAAGGGAATAATCAGAAGCAAATACTTCTGAGGAGGGACAGGGTCAAAAGAAAGAATAGAATAAATGGATGGGAGGGATCAGATTAAGGGAAATAGAGTTAGTTTTTTACAGCATATCTACTATGGAAGTGTTTTGCATAACTGCACATATATAACCTATACTTAGTTGCTTGCCTTATCAATGAGGGTGGGTAGGGAGAGAGGAAGGGAGAAAATTTGGAACCCAAAGTTTTAAAAACACATGTTTAAAAAAAATGTTTTCACATGCAACTGGGAAATAAGAAATACAGGAAATGGGGTACAGAAATCCATCTTGCCCTACAGGAAAACTGAAGGGGAAGGGGATAAGAGAAGGAGGGGAGAGATAGAAGGGAAGGCAGATTAGGGGAAGGGGTATTTAGAATGCATGCCATCTTGGGGTGGGGGGAGGGGTGAGATGGGGTGAAAATTTGGAACTCAAAATCTTGTGGAAGTAAATGTTGAAAACAAAAAAATAAATAAAAATAAATAAAAAACTTGCCCAAGGTTACTCAGCCAGGCTGTGCCACAACCAGGAAGAGAATCCACATCTTTGTGCTCCAAGTCCAGGTGTTCCATGGTGTAGTGGAAATAGCATTCAATTTAGTAGTTTCAACCCAAGATCTGACCAGTTACTACTTGTGTGACTTTGGGGGAAGTCCTTCCCATAACATGAGTGGGGATAAAATCATGGAGTGTTAGACTTGAAAGGGACATTGGAGATCATCTGTCCCCATTTCTTTGTTCCATGAATGAGGAAAGTTTATTTGTTATAGACTGTAAGCTCCTTGAGGGCAGGACCTGTTTCACTTTTGTCTCTGTATCTCCAGCACCTCT